GCGTCACAGCCTCGTCTGCGTCCGGGGCTGGCCCTTAAAGGGGAGGGCCGGCTGGGCGGGGCTTGGAGGAGACAAGGGCCTGGAAAGCCGGGGTGTCTTAAAGGGAAGGACGCGAGGCACCTGGAGCCTGGTGGGCGGTGGCTAGGGTCTGGGAGGCCCCGAGAGGAGCACAGATCTAGTTCTTCCCCAGGACTACACAAAGGGAGGGAGGCAGCGGATGAAAGTAGCTACACAATTTAGATAGAAAATCCGCTCATCGCCAATTATCTGGATCTTTTAGAACTGCAGCTGCGAAGAGGGAGGGGATGGCAAGTAAGAGTTAAACGAAAACTCCAGAGTTTGTTGGAATTACTGCGGCCATTCATCCTCTAAACAAGTGTGGTACAAATATTCGACATTTCTTAATTGAACATTTTCCTATGAGCTTTGCGTTTCTTTTTTCATAAATGTATTGTTTTTCAATGAACATTGGCATATGAACAATTTAATAATTAAACCTTGCAACAGTTTTCATGTAAATAAATTTAAAGGAATGTGGGATAGGACGAGGATGGGTTGAGATTCAGATTACCTGAAATCAGGCAAGGCTTTACCACTGCCTGGCTGCATGATCCAGAGAGAGAAAGACTTTGCACCTCTCTCACAGTGACAAGAGTAGTAACACCTTTCTCATTGGGTGGTGAATGTCAGATAAGATCATGTAGAACCAGAAGGAACTGGGGAATACGTTCTGATTTCCAATGTGGAGAAAATTGTACCTGAAACTACACCTATAAGAAGAAGTAGTAGGCATTTTTGAAGCCTAGTTCTTCTAGCCCATGTTTCTGAAGAAGATGCCAAGGAGCTAGGGGAACACACAACACAGCTGGGATTAGGGCAAGGAGATGAGGGATGTCCTGAAAATACGCTGCCAGAAGGCCTCTATGTACTTCTATATGCGTTCTGAAGGTGCTTGGGAATGATTATCAAATGCATCCCTGCTGACCTGCCCTCTCTGACTAGTAAAACAGTTGAGAAATAAGACTCAGCCTCAGCTTAATTACTGAGAGGCCAAATTAGAGAACGTGGCTTGACCTATGGCCACCCATAAGGAGCTCTGGTGGCATAAGTGCCTAAGGCATTTGACTGCTAACCAGAAGGTTAGTGGTTCAAATCCACCAACCACTCCAGGGAAGGAATACTGGGCAATCTACTTCCACAAGTATTTACAGCCTCGGAAGTCACCATGAGTCTGAATCGACTCAATGGCAGTGAGTTTGGTTTTATGGCCACCCATAAGGAGTTCTGGTGGTACAATGCCTAAGGCATTTGACTGCTAACCAGGTGGCAGGCGAGCCAGTTCAAACTCACCAGCCACTCTGACGAAGGAAGATGGGGCAATCTACTGTAGATTTACCGCCTCAAAAACCCACTAGACTCAATGGCAGTGAGTTTGGTTTGGTTTTTTGGTATGGCCACCCATGCATGGCCCCTATTATGTCCCTCCAAAACTCTAGAGCCCTGTGTATGGGAGACTCAGCTCAGGGAGAAGCAGAGAAAACATTCTGAGGACCTGGCTCTTGAAGAGCAAGCCCAGAAGAAAGCACAGGTCTCCTCCCTCCCTCACCTTTCCCAGAAGACACTTCTCCCACTGGGAGGCCAGAGTAAGGGAGTGGAGTGAAGGTCAGGAGTTATGGTCTGGCGCTACCCCTCCAGAGGCAGGATTTGCTCTACAAACCAAGAAAAAATTTGTTCTTTTTAAGTAGCATTTATTTAGTGCTGACTGTGTACCTAGGGGAGCTCTGGTAGCGTAGTGCCTAAGGCACTTGACTGCTAACCAGAAGGCTGGCAGTTCAAACCCACCAGCCGCTCCTCGGAAGGAAGGTTGGGCAATCTACTTCCGTAGTGATACTGCCTCAGAAACCCAAGGAGGGGTCGCTATGAGTCGGGTCCAACTCGACGGCACACAACAACAACAACGTGTACATAGTGCCATATGGTGGTGGAGGAGAGTGTTAACAATTTTGAGGAGAAGGTTACACAGATCTGTACAAGACATCCTTAGAGAGGCACCAACACAGTCCTGGGAACTGAAGGAGGAGGGATTCCCTTCTGTTTGGAGTAGCTGAGAGCTTCTTCCAGCGCTAATCAGGATGGATTGGCTTAGAGAGCTCCCCTAAGCTTCCTTACTCTTCAAAGACAAAGAAAGTGCTTAAAGCCACAGGGGTTGGAAAACACCTCCACCTCCCCATTTCTAATGTTTGGCTACCTGAGGCGGGCTCAGGAGATCCCCTAAAGACTTAGGGGGATGGGGAGGAGGAAGTCTTCACCTGCTCTGTCTCTCAAGTAGAGGGGTCACTGGTCTGGGGCTGCTCAGGGCTGTGCGTGGGCCTTTTTCTCTCCACAGAGGAGTTGGGGGGAGGGGGCGGGCTTGCCACTGCTTGCTTTGGACTTCCTTGGCCTCTCTCATCCCCCTGACAAAGCTAGAAAGAGGATCGATCCTGTGCTCTTTCAGAGGCAGCAAGATGTAGTGGAAAGAGAACAGAATTTAGAGACAAATGACCTGAATTCAAGCCTGTCCTCCAGCTGAGTTATCTTGAACAGGCCATTTAATCTCTCTTTGTATCTGGAAAATGATCAAATTTGCCTTCAGGGCTGAGCGAGACTCCAATGAAATAGTGCACATCAGAACTCTTCATAAACTATAAATTATCATGAGTGTTAAATATTAGCATTACTGGGGCACTGCTGGCTTACTCCTCTGTGCTGAGCCCACTGCCTAGGGATCTGTCCCTGATATCAAAGCTGCCTTCCTATCTATTTGGAGCTCTGGGGAGATGCTGAAGTCAGGTGACCTAGGAATAACAAGACAACTGAAACCCCAGTTGAAATTCCTCCTGGAGTTGAGAACTAAGGCAGCTGAGGCCTAATTAGGCAAATGAGGCCTAGAGGAGCACACAAGGACTCTGAGAACACATACACAGTGCTAGCGATTATATAAACTGCACACGCAGAACCCGGAAAACACACACATATAAGACCACAAACATATAAGCATGATGTGCCTGGCAGAAAACCAAAATCAAACCCATTGCCCTCAAGTTGATATCAACTCATGGCAACCGGATGTGTTACCAAATAGAACTGCTCTATAGAGTTTTCTTGGCTCTGGTGGCATAGTGCCTAAGGCATTTGACTACTAACCAGAAGGTTGTTGGTTGGTGGTTCAAATCCACCAGCCATTCTGTGGAAGGAAGACTGGGCAATCTACATCCTTAAAGATTTACTGTCTTTGAAACCCAAAGGAGGTTGCTGTAAGTCCCAATAGACTTGATGCCGGTGAGTTTGGCCTTGGTTTTTGGTTAATCTTTACAAAAGCTGATCGTCAAGCCTGTTTCCCACAGTGCTGCTGGGTGGGTTCAAACCACCCAACTTTAGATTCAATCACAAATGGTTTTTACCACCCAGGAACCTTTACCAGAATAAATACCTGAATGGATGACTTACTGGGGGGTGATTTAGGCTAAAGAAAGAAGCAGTAGGCAAGGGAAGTTCCTTTGTGGTGTTAACTAGCTATGTGACCTCAAGAAAGGCCCTCACCCTCTCAATTCCCTCTTCCTTGTTTGTAAAATAGTGATAATAACATCTGCCATGCCTACCTTGGAGCGTTATTATAAGGATAAAATAAAATAGTTACCCATAAGGCACAAAGAAGTCCAAAGTCCTATTTGTATAAGAGCAAGCTTTCAGCCATCTATAATGAGCTACTTAATGAACAGATTTATGGATGTGTAAAAGTACTTCAAGAGTTAAAAGTCTACACAGATAGAAAGTACTCTTTTTATCTATGGTTGATATGCAAACAGTTGCTGTATAATATAGTGCACACAAAGACAATGCAAGGAGCTCAGGTACATAGAATAGGTTAATTATAATCCTTGATCCATGACATAGCCTCATCACTGGATCATTGATCCACACACCTCCACTTGTATATAGTTATTGGTTATTTTTAATGTAACAGGCACCTGTGGACCCACTACCCAAAATAAAACTTGGGCTTTGACAGTAATAGACATCATCTAACCAGATGGTACCCCCCATCTCCCCAAACTATTTCTATTTCCCCAGCCCAAGATAACCATCATCCTGAATCCTATGTTCATCATGCCCTTGCTTTCTTTCTTTTATAATTTTATTTCCTGTGGATACATTTAAAGGCTTAGATGTCCAACTATCATAAAAGATGAAGCTAAAAATGTCTTAAAAATGAGGCTATGGGTGACCTTAGCAGCAAAATGAGGTTAAAATATGAAAACATCTTGTGATAGTTTCAAATATTCCTCTCCTTCTGCTGCTGATGATAGCAATGATGATAATAACTGTTAACATTTATTGAGCACTTACTCCGTGCCCAGTATTGTGTTCCATTTAAATCTTATTGTGATCTGTGGCAGAGATTACTAGTTATCTGGTCTAATATCCATTTTCCCCTTCCTTGACAGTAAAGAACCTTCAATATTTAGTGAAGAATATAGCTACTTGGTATACAAATTACATTTCCCTGCATCCATTACAGATGGTTGTGTTCATGAGATT